TTTCGTTACATCACAAAACATCATAAAACATCCCCCCCTTTTCCAAAATCTAAGGGGGTCCCATCATAAAACAGAACATCACTGAGAGACCATCTATGGGTCCTCATCACAACTTAGATAACTTTCACAGACGGATTGCGCTTCCTCCCCTTATACTCTGCCTTATCAGCTACCGTGGGCAGGTCGCACAAGTATACCGAGGAGTAGACAGTTTTACTTACAATCATATTCATAATACCTAAGATACATAAAAGGTTTTTCACACATTGTCCGCTCAAACTCTTCATACATCAGAGTACAACCACACATCTGAGAGAGACAAGTGATCGTCACATATAAGAATGGTCCCTGAAGGAAACCTCATCATAATATACACTCAGGGAGTACAATGTCTCATACAGAAAGTGTCTCCAAATCATAGCTTGCTCAACTCAAGCCACACCAAACCCACACTGACAACTACCCCTAGAATACATGTCAGATTTGTCTCTCAAAGGCCAGGGCGTAGGCCACCTAAATATGTACATGCCTCATCTAAACCACCCTGACCCTCAAAACCTCAACTCAGTAGAGACACTAGAGTTCTGATCTAAATTAACAGCAATCATCAAAATGTCTTCTAAGTCTAAGAGGGTATCACACAGAACCTAAGTTGATGCCTCACAAAATGCTCGCTCACTTATATAGACAAAACCGACACTATCTCCTCAACTCCTCTTGGTTTTGCCTATATAACTGAGCCCTAGGTCCATCTGCAGATTTCTCTACTATCTTGCCCTGTCTATCATACATTTTACCCCTTGCCTCTGAGACCTTCCCTACTGCCTTATCCTCAAGGAACTCGAGACAGTCCAGAGCCAGATGCACGCCCCTTTTGCAGTAGAAGCATAGCTGATCAATCTTCCTCTTGAATTTCTTCTTCCTGGGCTGTCGAGGTGGTGATGAAGGAGATCCCACCAAGGTACCGACACCCCCTTGCTGCTCTGATCGAGGAGCTGCGGTACTAACGATTTTCTGCTGCTCTGTCCCCGGCACCAGTCCACCAGTCCCTGATCCAGTAGCCCAAGATCCTAGTCTGCCTCTCAAATCCTCTGTCGCTGGGACGTACTCGGGCGTGTCCAACCTCTGAGGCCTCCTCTCGAGTGTCGCCTCTGGCACTGCCGTGGGCTGCTCCTCAATCTCCTCTGGTCCATACTCAGGTGTGCCTATCCTCTGGAGTCTGCTCTCGATGGTACTTTCTGCCTCAATCCCTATCTCTCTCTCAAGAGACTCCTCTATCCTCTGCTCATGTGAAAACAAACTCACCTCCTCCTGCATAGTATGCACCGCCTCAAGGAGCACGCTCATGGATCCCTCTGCCGAGCCCTGAGCCGGCTCACTGCTAGATGGTGGCATCCCCTCCTCTACTGCCAAAGGTACGACTGGGCCTGCCGCCGCCACTGGCAGCGTCGCGAGCTCAGTAGGGGCTCTAAACTCGAACGCCTCTCTCTCTGCCTGTCTCTGGGCTCTCGCCTCCTTTGACTCCATGATAACTCTCCCAATAGGTGGCTCCTGGCGAGGCTCTGCTGCAGATGGCTGTCCTGGCAATCCCTGTCCTGGCTGCCTCTGCTCTCCCTGCCTGCTGCTCTCTGGCCTGTCCACCCTTCCTTGGGTTTGCTGCCTCAGGCTCTCGATGATTGCTGTCTGGCTGGCCACCAAGGTCTTGAGTTCCTTAATTTCCATCTCCATAGCCTTCAGGCGTACTTCATGGCTTGCTTCCTTCATCTTCTTCCCTGTTAGATCGCCCTCCAATAACAAGTGCCGGTCAAAAGTGGTCTTGGCCAGGAACTTGATTTTACGATTTAACCTCTCTTCCGCCTTCCTGGCCACCCCAAACCCGACTCTGACTGGCGATGGAAGCTCCTCTCCTCTCTGCTCCCAGAAGTCTCTCCACATCTCAGGAATCTCCGGGGCCTTGGCTGGCGCGCTGGGTGGCTGACCGGGGAGAGCTCCTGCTGCCTCCGATCTCTGCCTCTCCTGTTGCTACTCCGGGAGCTCCCCCACTGCCTCCAACCTCTATCTCTCCTGCCATATCTCATCTATCCGTCTAGTTCTTCTTGCCCTCTTTTCTTCAGCCGTCTCTCCAGCTGGCGCCCTTTCCCTCGTGCGGAGGTCGACCCTCTTTGGGATCTCTGCTTCAATCTCCTTCTCGGGCTGGCATAACTTCTGGCGTGGCTCTGCAGGTGCTGGCTCCTCCAGGTCTGGGTGCTCCAGGGCATGAGCTGCTAGGTGCCTATCAATCAGGATCAAAGCTT